AATTTCATGTCAAAGTTTGATATATGCTGCTAGCAATATATTTACTTTGGGTATTTTATTGTTCTTCAATCTTGTTTGCATCAATATGGCACTCAGTTTCTTCAAGGTGAATAACTCTGTCAAGTTAGTTTTGTCAAAATTGTTTGACGGTAGTATTATGGCACTTTGGTTGAGAGAAAATGTGAGGGGAATAACTGTTGATGTAGGACAATCCTATTGCAAATAGGATAGGGATCTATTTCTTGTTGAAGTTGGATTTTATTTCTAGATTAGGACTTCTATTTATTTTAGGTTTTTAATTACCTATTTTTCTTGAACTATTACTATTAGGGGAATATTTTACCTATATAAGCAAGTCTCTGTACACTTATCAATCATCAATTCCATTATAATCAAATCATTCTCTACAAATTTTCGAGTTTTCTGACTTTCTTCTTATTTCAAAAATTTAATTCCACTTCCACACCAAAATTGGTATTAGAGAAGATTTGCCCTTGGTTGATGACTACCTACAGTGGTAGCGATACAAATCCTTGCGATGATGTTTGGGGGATGGTCTAAAATCTGGAAAGAAGGATGGATAAATTCAAAGATGTAGCTAACAAAAATTTGTATATTTTGATTGCTATGAATGTTGGCTGCCTCAAGGAGTCCATAACATGATAACATGTGGCAAGAGATTTTGCCTCGAGTCCCATCTAGGTCCAAATACTCACAATGTGAGGGCTTAATACTACGTGAAGATTTTCATAGATCAAACCATCATATGTGCAATGATGGTTTATTCCAAGATGATAATGTTTGTCCATTAAACCTTCATAAACGGCAGAATACGATGTTCTGTCTTGGGCAACAATCTTATTCGGATCAATAGCATGTTCCAATGCAACTTAGCCCCTATTTCCATTTTTGGAGGAAAATATGTTTTAAGGTAGTGATTTTTTGGAGAATGTGTGGTTAAAAAGTAAGAAAAAATTCTGGATTTACATGTGAAATTTTTTTTATTGGAGAATGTGTGATTGAAAATGAGTTTTAGAAAATTGAGTTATTTATTTATTCATTTATTTTTTTTTGGGGGGAGAAATGGAGGCTAAACATAGGCTTAGTTTAACATAACGCCATTCCTCTAAACAAACATGACCTCAATAACTGCAAATGTCAAATGGAGCCTGAACAAGTTAACAAGGATTTTGCCAAGGTCTATTGAAGATATAGGGGAGCCTAATGTGAAGTGAGACTAGATGTTTAGAACACAATGCACCATTAACAACAAAATATGCAACATAATCCTAGATCATGGGATTAGCGAGAACATGGTATCGAAAGTATTAGTGGAAGTTTTGAATTTGAAAATGAAAAATACTTGGTTGGCTATCAAGTTCCACTTGTTAAAAGGGAACGACAAATGAAGATATGAAGGTATGTAAAGTTCCACTTTTTATTGGAAAGTATTACAAAGGTGAGATTGAGTGTCATGTGGTTGAGATGAACAAGTGTTGTGTGGTTTCGGGACAACCATGTTCATAAAATGTAGATGCTACTTACTAGGTAGAGATAACAAGTAAATGTATTTGTAGTACAATAAAAAGATCGTTGTGTTGCCACTTAAGAAGCAATTTGGGACTACCAGTGTAGACAAATAACATAAGATTTATAAAGCTCTCAATAAGGTTGAAGATGTCGTTTAAAAAGATCATGATGTTGTTGACCAAGATATTGCAATAGAGATAGAAAGCATAAATAAGCTGAAAGCCCAAGACCTACTAATCTACATAACATGGAAATTGACAAGGAATACAATTGTGAGGATGCAAACATTATGGTAAAATTGCAATTGAAGACTCTAACTTCAAGCCGCGCTCTGATCATAAACAAGTTTGAAGTTTAGAAGTGTCCGACGAAAGAAAGAGAATTGAACTTTCCAATCATGATGGAGTTGAAAGTGGCGCTTGTCAAATTGAGAATAAAAGTTTTGTTGATGTTCTATGAGATCCTAATGCATTGATTATATAAGCATGAGAGATATATGGCATGAATGATGAAAAGATGAAGGATTGAAAATAATACTATTGGCCCCCTACCGAGAATGGACTTAATGATTAGAAATTGAACCATGCGTCGTTTGTGGAGGAATATCACTAAGTGTCTGCGAGGAAAATAAAATGAGCACGGTTGACTTCAAATAATGCAAATGAGTGTATCGATATTTATCGTGCACATCAAGAGATGACATTTCCTTCTGGTTGATTAATTTACTCTTCTTCAACCAAACTCGAGGACGAGTTTCTTTTCGAGTGAGGGAGATTGATATAGTACAATCCTATTGCAAAGGGGATAAGGATTTTATTTCTTCTTGTAGTAAGATTTTATTTTCTTGTATAGATTGACACTTTCAATCCTTTTAGATTTTTAATCATTCTTTTAACATTCTAAAACTTATTTTCCTTGAGCACTTTGTCCACTTTTTAATCATCAACTTAGCCCCCGTTTGACCCCCCATTTTGTGGTAATCAAAACGGGTGGAATAGTATTTTTTTTAAAAAAAGAGAGGTTGAAAAAGAAGGAATTTTTTTTTATTTGCGTATAATATTGTTGTATGGGAGATTGTGTGGTTGAAAATAGAAGAGGAAAAAATGAAATGTAATGTAATGAAAATTAATGGGGGCCAAACGGGGGCTTAATTATAATCAAATTATTCTTTACAATTTTTTAAGTTATTCAACTTTCTTTTTGTTACAAGAATTTAATACCACTTCCGCACCAAATGTCCATCTTTTTCCAAGTTGACATCATCTCAGTATGTTAATGCTCTAATAGTGATTACATTTGAAATGAATACTATATTTGGAACATGTGTTCACTTATGTCAGGAATGCATCAATTTATTTCAAAAGAAATTCTTTTAGTGGACCCAGCATTATTTATGAAACTCAACAGTTTTCTTCATTTTCCTCTCCTTCAAATTTTGTAGTGCTTATTTGCTCAAAACTCCCTGCATACCAACAGCAAGTATATATGCTCATATTTTGTTAGCTGCGTATATGCAAATACAAAGAAACATGTCAAAGATATTGGAAGGTTTGTTTCTTCAATTAGTCTTCATGTTCGTTTAATGTGTATCTTAATTGTTGAAAGGGGAAGAGAAAAGAGTCGGTGTTTTGCTTGCTAAGGCCACTTATTTAATTGCCGGTAAACATTCAGGCAACTAAAAAGTGGAAGAATTCACACATGTATCATGCTACTTTTCTGTGATTAGTCCTCTAATGCCAAAAGGAAAAATAAAAGGCTTCACTAAATTCAAAATCTCTTGGTGATAAGAGCTATAAACTCTTTTTAGTGACCCTAGAAATTTTGACTGTTGGATCTTTTAATTGGGAGATCATTCTATGTTTTAGTAACTGAATATTGGGTCTCATGGACATTTCTGAGAATCTAGTGTCCTCTATTGTTGTTGTTGTTGTTGTTATTATTATTATTATTATTATTATTATTATTATTATTATTTTATTATTATTAGTTTTTTTGATGGGGAGTGTACTACCAATCTTGGACCCTTTATCTTGGTTGTGGAAACAACAATCCTTAATCAACCAGGATAGAGAATTGGTTGAATCTAGTGTCCTTTAGTCCAATAGGCCATGAATGAAGCTTCAACAACAAATCACTGCCTTAGAGCATTTTTTGGTCTCACCTTCAACATTTGAGATAAAATAGGTATTTGTGTTTTAACTTGACATGCCTACTGAACCTGCCTATGTGAATTTGAGGTAACAATTGATATCGTATCTATAACTTCATATTTACTTTTATCCACGTAAGTGTTATTTCCTTTCATGTTATGTTTAAAAATCACATCTTTTATGGCTATTCGAATCACGTCTTATCTCAATTCTAGTATTTTTATCGATCCATGACAAGTGGTGGAAATATGCTTCAGTTATCTAAGTTTCACACGAGCTAAAATGGATCATAAACGTGGAAGGTGCAGAAAATAAGCATGGTTTATGCTTCTGAATTTTATTTTTTTTAGCTAACAAAACTGTTGATTCATGAAAAATAGTTCTTGAATAAGGAGAGATTATATTTTGTGTAATTATTGGTTTTTATGTGTGAATTACGTAGGCGTGCAAGTGTTAGAATTTGATCTCTATTTAATTAATTAATTTTTATTTCTCAACAAACAGGTGGCAGACTTAAAATCATTGAGAGCTGACACACACAAGTTTGAGTCTCACTATATTGACAACCTTGTTGGTAATAACTGTATAACAATATATTTAGTTTCTTTCTGTTGTTCATCCCTTGAATTTTTTCCCCATCATGGTTGCTACTTGTACAATGCAGGAAATGAAAATGCATACTTTGAGAGATCTCCTATCAATTTTGTTGATAAATTTTCCTGTCCCATAATACTATTTCAAGGATTAGAAGACAAGGTATGAATGAAATTGACCTTTCATATTTCTGTTTTTTCTTTGTTCACCTTGATATTATCCCTCCCTTCTCTCTTTCCCGACTTCTGAATCATAAATTATTTTCTTGTGGTTAATTCGCTTACAATATCCTTGATTACTCTGTTGGCCATGATTTCCGACACTGAATCCTGTAATTTTACAGGTTGTCCTCCCCAATCAAGCACGCAAAATCTACCATGCATTGAAGGATAAAGGGTCGCCAGTTGCACTTGTGGAATATGAAGGAGAACAACATGGATTCCGCAAGGTATATTACTTTAGATTATAGCTCGTATATTCTGGTGGAAACATGTTGCTGATTAACGTGAATGCAGGCTGAAAACATCAAGTTCACTCTCGAACAACAGATGGTGTTTTTTGCTCGTTTGGTTGGACACTTTCAGGTGGCAGATGATATCACTCCGATCAAGATTGACAACCTTGACTGAGGGGACGTAATTTCGGATATGGCTTGAATCCTTTTGTCATTTTACATTTTGCTTGAATAGCAGTACCTTTCTGTCAAACAGGGTGTGCAAGTGAGAATTTTTTTTTTTTTTTTTGTTAAACGTCAATCAAACCACTTTTGTCATATATCGTTACAAACTACGATTAGCATTGACAATGGAATACAGTCGATTCACAACCAATCCTCTCTATTCACCGTAGCAAGAGATGCAAATTTATGGATCACTTGGTTCTCCTCTACAGGCGAAGTGACAATCCCACAGCCCACTACTCCAAGGAACGGTACAATATCTAAATAATTAAAGCAGTATCCAACAATGGTCTAGATGTTTTATAACTCTTGAACCAGCTGCAGTGTATCACGTTCAGCCTACACTATACCGATCCACAGCACGAACCGAAACCAGACCCTCTCATAATGCAGGAGAGATTTCCCATGATGTACCTGGTAGGAGCTGCCATCACCACTCCCCAATGATCACGGACAACAACTTCAATGCCATTAAGTCCAAGCTCCCGTCAAATAACAGAGACAGTGTTGAGTTTCAAACTGCCCATTTCTGGTGCATTCCAGTAGAGCATGCGCCTCTCTCCTTTTTCAGTCCCCTGCCTTTGTCAAGCCCACTGTACCATTTTATTCATATCTCGTATTTTATTGCTTAAGATTGATCGACCTTACGGCTTCGACCAACTGTTTGCCTTGAAAGAGCTTCAATTCTAGAAATTTGGAAATTGTATAAACGCAGAAGAATAACTTGCGGAAAGAAGAATTGAACCCTAAGGGAAGGAATGATTCAAGGAGGAAAGAGTTGTCAGTTTGGCTTGATTCCTCTCTTGGTTTCGACCAAAAGGGTTAGGATTCTTGCCAAAGAAACTACTAAGGGGGAGAATGAAAAATTTAGAGAGGACAGTGTGATTAATTTGTGAGAGATTGAAAGATGAAACAGATCAACGCAGCGCCTCAAAAAAATTTCAAGAAAAAGGAAATCAACATAGCCCATGAAAATAGAATAAAACAAATAATTTAATTTCCTTTTTCTTTGTACAATCTAAATAAATGGGAGACAATTGTGATAACAGATTTGTTATCGAATGATGTAGTTATAACCTGGAAATCCAACAGGACGAAAGAGAGAGCAGTGCAAAAGGGAGTAAAATGTCTAGGGAAGTATCCATGGGGGAAGGTGAAGCCAGTAAGCAAATGAAATTGTTTCATAATTAAAAATTTATAATAGATCACCAGATGTGATTAGTTTTCTTTTTGATTGCAGTAATATCTTTGTGCCTCTCTTGTAGTGGCGCATCCAACTTACTGATTAGACAAAATTAGAACATCTTCACCAATACCCTTTGCAAGAGCAGGATCCATTCTTGAAATGATGAAAGCGACTCGAGTCCCTTAGTATAATTTCATGTTCAATGATCCTGGAAATGTAAGTAATGGCTATATGACAATCCCCACAAACACGCAAGTTCTTGGTGATCCTAATAGGCATCCCTGGAGCTGTTGTAAGAATACCATAAGCAAGTGCCAATTTCTCACTATGTTCAAGCAGAAGATCCCCTTTCTCCTCATCATCTACGTCATGGAGAGCAAAGCTAGTCTCGGGAACATAACCCATAATTTTAATACGGTGAATCAGATCATCAAGAAGATTATATATCTCTTGAGACATTGGATGAGATCTGTCACCCACAAAAAAGCTTGCTGTCCCCTTCTTTCCTTGGACCCAACTACAGCCAGGCCTTTTCCTGATTCCTGAGTGCTTCATCAATGATCGTATCCTGGCAACATCTTTCCATCGCTTGGCGCTGGCATATATGTTTGAAAGAAGAGTGTACAAGCCATCATTCTCAAACTTCAACTCTAACAAACGGCTTACAGCATGCTCCCCTAGTTCAACATTCTTATGAAGCCTGCAACCACTAAGAAATGCCACCCAAACTATCGGGGTTGGCTCCATTGGCATATCCTCAATGACCTTCATAGCCTCATCCAAGCGACCAGCACGCCCTAAGAGATCAACCATGCAAGCATAGTGTTCCACTGATGGAACAACTCCGAAATCCCTTCTCATGTTATTGAAGTAATTGATCCCAATGTCAACCATTCCAGAGTGGCTACAAGCATATAAAACAACTACGAAAGTCACTCCATCAATTGGGAGACCAGCTCTCCTCATCCCATCGAACACTTGGAGAGCCTCATCACCACGACCGTGCATGCCGTATCCTGTCATTATAGACGTCCACGAGACAGCATTCTTATGGCTCATGTTATCAAATACAACTCGAGCTGCATCAACATCCCCTGATTTGGTATACATGTCTATCAGGCAATTTAATACAAACAACATGGCTGCTTCATAACGATTACGCAATGTATAAGCATGGATTTCTCTACCAAGTCTAAGAGCACCCAGACGAGCACAAGCCACCAACGCACAAGATATAGTAAATGCATTTGGTATCATGCTATTTTTGTCTCTTAGCATTGCAGAGAACAGCCCTAATGCATCGCTTGCTTCCCCGTGTTGTGCATAACCACCAATCATGACTGTCCAAGTCACTACACTCCTATCCTTTCTTTCAATTGAATCAAACATGGCACGGGCAATTCTAAAATTATTGCATTTTGCGTACATGTCTATCAAACCATTGATCACCATCATCTCATCCCCAGGATCATTCCCTACTGTGTTGAAAAATTCTTTAATAACATAACAATGGGTTTCTTTTCCCTGATCTAATGCCCCAACTGCTGCGCAACCTGATAAAACTGAGACGAGGGTAACAGCATTTGGTTCTGATCCCGAAACTATCATCTCCCTAACCACAACGAGTGCCTCATAGCCAAGCCCCCTCTGAGCGTACCCTGAGATTACAGCACTCCATGTGACCACGTTTAATTCAATCTCCTCCTCCCTCATTCTCTTGAACAGTCCCAAAGCATCATCAAAATTTCCAATCTGCGAGTACCCTGTAACCATTGCATTCCAAGAGACCACATCCTTCATCTCCATCTTATCGAATACAGTCTTTGCCTCTTCCATCAATCCGCACTTTGCGTACATATCTACTATAGCATTGCCCAAAAAAACATCCTCAACTAAACCCTTCTTTATTGCATACCCATGAATTTCCATACCATTCCTCCACGACTTAACTGAAGCGCAAGCGGGGAGTACATTAACCAAACTAACCGCATCAGGACGCAATGCATAGTCAGAGACAGAAACCATCTTCTTAAACATTTGTAGAACTCTTCTCCAATCACCAATTTGAGAATAAACCGCTATAATAGAATTCCAAGAAATCGTATCAAACACCCTTCTCTCAAGCATTTCACCAAATATCTTCTGTGCGTTTTCATGCGCTCCACACCGGCCATACATGGCTACCATTGCATTGCCCACAAACACGTTGAAGTTTATATAACCAGTAACAACTGCAAGGGTGTGGACTGATGCACCCCGGACGATAGATGAAAGCTCTCCACAGGCTTTGAAGACGTAAGGATAAGTATATTCATCAGGAGCCCAGTTGAGCCTCCGCATTTCATTAAAAAGATGGAGGGCATTCTCAAGATTTCGCGTTGAAACGCTGCTTTTGATGAGGTTGTTCCAGTAGAATACCACGGAACGCGAGGGTGGGAGGTGGCGGAGGAGGGCGAGAACTTCGGGATGTGCATCGCAAGAGAGGTAATTAGAGAGTATTTGTGAGGTGTTTTTCGAATCTGAGAGGAGGGAAGCTCCTTGAATGACTTGTTTCTGATGGATGAGCTTTGCTTTGGTTAAGGATTCGAAATGATGAGCCGAAGAAGAGAAGAAGAGGGCGTGGACTGTGATTGATTTTTGTCTGAGTTTTGGCGGGATGGACGAGGAAAAGAGCATTTGGTTTGGCTGCGGTGCCTACACCAACGCCCGCGGAAGGGCCTTTGAATTCTGGACAAATGAGTTGGGATGAAACAATTATTGCCATATGTATTGAAGGAGAGATGATCTATGATGGAATAACAAATTCAATTCAAATTTTAAAACTTAAAAGAAAATTTATTCTCTAATGAATTGATATCTGCACACGTCTTTTATAATTTTTTCCTCCATATTAACTAATCTTGTTTCGTAATTGTTGCATGATGAGACCATTCGAGAAGTCTCTTGTATCGTTTATTATGGAGAAGATCTACATTGGAAAGTATTGTTTTACAACTTTCGAACTTGCATTTGTTTGCCTCGATTAAGCAGAGGCTTTAAATTTGCCCCAGGAGGCCAAGTCTTGCTAACTAACTCGTCCTCATGAGTTGTGCCATGTCCATGGTTTGGCCACGGGCGACCGACTCCAAGAGTGAGTTTTTCTTGTCGGACCAAATGATAGTTTGGGTTTCTACCTCGAGTGTCTAGAGTAAAGACTTTTGCCTCTTTTCATCAACTACTAATAAAAATAATTTCAAAATTCTCAATAGTGATCAAGATTTTGTACAATCACACAATCAACGTCATTAAATAGATTGTTTGCAATTCTCCATTTTCGTTACAACTCCACACATTTACTAGTTTACACGACACGCACAGGCACTCATACGTATATTCAAGAACTTATTTTATCAACTTCAATTGTAAATGGAACTATAACACAGGAGGAAATAACTTGGACAAAAAGAAAAATATGAACCCTCTTTCTTTTGCAGAAGAATTAGAAAACGTTACATAATAATCAAAATTCTCATGCTCTTCTAGAAGTTGCCAAGAAATTCTCGTGCACACTATTCTGGATTTAATGGTGGACTGACTGACGGATCAAAATAAAAAATTTAAATAGTATTTTATAATATTCTTCGAGTCTATTATTCCAACTACACAATTAATACAACAAAAATGTGATGCATATTTTAACGTTCAAAGTAGTCAACAAAACTTTAATGTTTTATTTTTCACGTTTAAATAAAAATAAAAATGTAATAAACCATATTCATACAATATAATCAACTCAATGCTGCAAGAAAAGAAGACATTCTTATGCTTTCCCTGCTCGGTTCGATTTCTATTAATAATAGAACAGGACAACTCAAAGATGCGAGAGAATATAACCAAACATCAAATACATAAACAAGTATCGTAAAATATCTAAAACCATATTAAGAGAGGGGGCGTGGGGGTGGAACTGCAAGTATCATGTTACAACTATTTGAATGTGAAAATTTTGCATGGTCTAGGAATAAAAGAAAAATTGTAATTTGAACTTTTAATATTTATTTTCGAGATAATCCAAAGCCATTAGCCAGTGCATGGACAGCAGGATTGAAAGCTAGTCTGCCCAGAATCCCTTGCTTGTAAGGCAAGAAGGTCTTCTTCTTCAAATCTTCTGAAACTGCCCTATTTATTGTGTAATGCAATTCATGAGCAGAAACGGGTCCCCTTCTTCTTGACCCGGATCCAGTACCCGGGCTATCGATTCCCTTGAAACTCGAGTTTTGGTGTCTCCGGAATACTGCTGCAGTGTATTTCTTTAATGGATCTTTATCTGCTGCTCGACCTTCTGATGCACTCCGGAACAAGAAAAAGTCCTTCAATCTCCATTTCTTGTGACCTTTTGAAGATGAACAAATGCTTGAACATGAAGAATTTTTTATGTTGTGCTCTTTTTGTATCTCTTCTTCTCCTTCCAATGGATTCTCAGAAATTCTGAGTGGAGAAACTGATCGAGTCGCCCTTCTGCTTGATGAATATGAATTAATACTCGTTTCTCTTCCTCTTTCATGCTCCAGGATCCTTTTTACAGAAGGGTGGGCTTCTTTCTCGTCCCTTGATGAGAAAGCGACCTTGATGGTTTTTTTACCTGGCAAAGTATGCGATTTGGGTTGCAGTTGAGAAATAAAATTCCTTTTCTGAGGTGTCGGCTTCAGGGGCCTGAGTATGCCGCCATCAAAGAGCTCTTCAGCGGTTAAAGAAGCAGTTTCTGATGCATTAAAAACAAACTTATCTTCATCCTTAAAGGCCGCTGCTGCGGCGGAGCCACCAGTGACCGGAGTATCATCAAAATTATCTTGGCGATAAAATTGCGAGAAGTGTGTAGGGCTACTTGGAGCACTGCAATAGTATTCTTCAAAACGCTTTGGCGTAGAAGGTGCAGTACTACTAATTTGTTGGTAGAACCTTGTACTGTTGAAATCAAAATCTGTGTGGTGAAGAGGTTTTATCACCTCCATTTTCATGCAGTTCTTCAAAGCCTCCCTCTGTTAATCTATTCGCACAGAGCAACAAATAACTATAAAAAGAGAAGGAAGAAAAGGTAGCAGCAAATATTATTGACTCTACGCACTAGTGTGTGAATTTTCCTTCAAGAAAAGGGTGGACTATGCACAAATTCCAGTCAAATCAAGGATTGATTTAACAGTTTCTAGATGGATGTTGTGTTACGAAAGGAATAATTCTTCTCAAACAGCGTCACATAGGCCCCGTTTTTGCGTAGCAAAACTCATTAGGAAAATTGACCTTAGATACAAGAAAGAATGACAAGAAATCTAGGTTTGACTATAGGGAGATTTTATTCACACACCATCCACCAAACATAAAATGGAAAATGGCACATGTTAGGGGGCAACCCCAGCCAAATTGGTTGAGCAGTTGGATTAGCAATCGTGAGGTTGCTAGTTCGATTCCCGTTGGAGCTGTCTATTGGCCTTCTTGACTTGAGCCGGTCAGCTATGGGTAACCTAGGCTGGTTTACCTCCTTGTGGTCCTTTGCCGGCTAGGATCACAAGGCGGAGTTTACCTAGTGCTCACCTTCGGGTAGCGACTGCGGGTTCCCTTGTCAACAAAAAAAGAAAATGACACATGTTAAGGTTATTGTTTACAGAATTTTTACCGATACTGCAGTGACACTACATAATTGGCAGCTTTCTGTTTCTTGTTTTTCAACTGCAAACAAAATCTTGACAAGTGTATGTAAACTATTTTTTGCTCACACGGCCAATATAAAATGAAATAAATTTAACTTTAGATAGTGGGTTAATTAACTGCCTAGAAAACTTCCATTTGATTATTGGAGGGAAGTTATTTAAAAAAAAACTACCCTCTTCCATGATAGATGAAAGTTGTTTGGTGGTTACCTATATATATGCCAAAAGGATCCCTAACCAAACTTGTACAAAAATTCCCGGTAGAATTTTCTCTCTAAAAAATTGAAAGTCATGTTTTTATTTCCATCAAGTTGAAGGGTTATAAAGTGGGTATTGACAGGAAGACCTTTGGTGCTTTAAAGATTCGTTTCTATTGCAAATTATCAATTAAAGCTTGAATAACATTGCTGAAGGTACGCATTTTAATTTCTTACATGTGATATCAGAGCCACCCCTATACTTGTTATTTAGATTTTCCTATTCGAATGATTATTAAATCTGTTGTGTATTTATATGTATGCTATTGCTACGCATATGTGTTGTGAATACAATTAATTTCTACTCTCCAAGACAAAGCCATCACTGGATGATGATGGCGGTACCTTTTTCCTGAAGTATAGCATGTTTAAATTCATAATGACATAGTTGCAGGCTTTTGATCCATTGTGTACAACTGGTAGCAATGATTGCCTCTATTAAAATATTAGAATTTTTGTGTATGTATTTTCAGTGACATGCATAAAGAATCTGTTGCTATAAATATGTAGTAGATGCGCAGTTTTGTATTTTTAATTAGCGCTAATCCATTTACTAGGTGTAGTACTAATAATTTATGGAAACATATTAATATTTTACCGAGTTAGTGTGTGTTTAACTTATATTATTTGAAGTTCAAAGGTGCCCTGCTTTATAAGCAATTGATTTCTTAAGTTACAATCTGTTTATTCATTGGTATTCTAAGAAATATAAATAGTGCAGTTGTTAAAAATTTACACACACACACACATAAAAAATAAAAAATAAAATTTCTTGTTTTATAGATGTCATATGAAGTTTCGACATGTTATTATAACTTAAGATTTAGCCAAAGCATCTTTAGTTATAATTTTATGTCATGAATATAAATCACATAAGGAATTATTTGGTGATATATATGATATCTCAAAAAGTGCAGTTAATTATTATGATGATTATTTGGCCCCACAGGGAAATAGTTGTCTTTATGATTTAATTGCAATAAAGTAATTATTAAATATCGAAAAAAGAAATTTTCTAGGCCCATAGGTATGGAAAATACTTGTATTTGATATTATTAAAGTCTTTGTAAATTCAATGTGTGATAACAACCTCTACCCACAGGAAGGTTTGAATTTACATAATTGAATTGACATTGGTTAATTCAATATAAATATAAAGATGTTTTTCATAGCATTAATGTACATTTTATGCAGCTGTTCCAAGTTTTTTCAATAACTCTATTCGAATTCTAATTCTATGTGGTGATAACTTTTCTGACTGGAAGGAGAAAATTCTCCTTAATATGGGATATATGGATCTCGACTTGGCGCTCCGTATGGATGAACCACTTGTCCCTACGAAATCAAGTATGCCATAAGAGAGGTCACTATATGAATTGTGGGAAAGATTCAACTGCTTGAGCGTGAGTCTCATGAAGACTCATGTCGATAAAAGCATCAGGGGATCAATCCCTCAATGTGATAAGGCCAAGGACTTCAAAAAGGCTATTGAAGAGCAGTTTGTAAGTTTTGACAAAATGTTGGCCAGCACCTTAATGAAAAGTCTTTCAGGCATGAAGTTTGACAATTCTAAATGTGACGCCCCGAACTTAAAACTTCGAGGGCCACGAACTTTACATAAAAACTTTTGCTTTTGGTACATGTAAATATTCTTAAATAGGAATACTACATGTTAAAAAACTTATTTTTATAAAACTTTATGGCCGATAAAAGTGCATGCCAACATGAAATTTAAACATTGTAAATACGGCCTCGGCACTGTCAAGTTTAGTTGAGGCAGCAAACTTCGGCAGATTTTATAAAATTCATCCCAACTCTGTTTCATATGAAATTTGTGGCGTTAGAAAGATAATTTCAAGTAGTATTCTGTGATAAAATATGAGAATTTTCCAAGATCATATGATATAGACTTTTTACTGAAAACAGAGGAGTACTGCACAGAAAATCCAGATTTACCCCTCGATGTTTAAATTTTAATAACTCAGGCCTTAGATATCCAAATGGAGTGATTCCTTCGGCCATATTTAGAGGACTTAAAGAGGAAAACATACATGTTTTTATAATTTCAAATGGACGTTCATAGAGTTAGAAACATCATTTTGAAATTGACTCCAGAAACTGTCCCGTTTCTGCCTTTTGTCTCTTGTAAGGAAAATAAACTACAAAAATGTCTCTTATCACAACATGAAAGATATAATTACAAAATTTACTATTAATACCATAATACATCATGTCTTGTTCATATTTTTACATAATACCATAAGGAAAATAGATGGAAAAACTGTCATCGAACAAAACAAAAAAAGAAAACTTTCGGTACAAAACTTCGTTGTCCTTAATCCATCATCGCGTAAGCCAACTAACTTCTATCAATTCAAATGATCATAGATCTGAAAATTTAGCATAACATACTATGAGTATAATAAATACTCAGTAAGATACCATGCTTGGACTTTTATCATGATAATACCACACAAAAGAATACAATCAAACCCATACTTGCATAT